TGTGAAATTCCAGGAGATAAGAGGTGAAAAATAGAGTGTGAGTGAGAGAAAAGTTTGCTGAAGTACAGACTGCTGGATCTCTCATGTGGTCTAGCTCATGCTGCTGTCTAGTGGTGCACTATTGTTCTCCTGCAGGACTCCCTCCCAAGCCACAGACACTGTGCATTGGATTTGCATTGCAGCATAATGTTGATAACTCAGTTTGAGAAAATTGCAGGGAAGAGTGTTCCTACATTTACAGATATACGTCCAACTAAATGTGCCGGAAATAATAACCAGCAGGAGTGGGAAAAAAATATATTGTAGGAGTCCAGCTAGAAGGAAAACAAAGGAAAAGGAAACGGCTTATGAGTTTGCTGTCCAAAGCTTCAGTAAAGCCTGCAACGATGATAAAACATCATCAACAATAAACATGCTTTGAAATAAGAAGGAAAATGGTTTATTAAAGAAGTCTAAATGAAACCCCAAATCAATGAGACACAAAATATTCATGGAATCACAATGGAACATTAGGACTGCAAGTTTGGAAAAAAACAGGTTTAACTCGGTGAAGTCTACATTTACCGTTAAATACACTCGACACACTGAATATGGAAGGAAAAAAAACGTACTTCTCATAAATATCACTTTCTCACAAATCTCAATTTGAAGCTGTGGTGGGAGCTAAAGATTAGCGCCAAGGCAGGGAGGCCTTTCAGCCTCCAAAGCTTTGAATCTTCTTGCATGGATGATTGTTCAGCAATTCAAGGGGAAACATAAAAACACCATTTAATCACATAGCCATTTCTAGACGCATTATTTGCATAAATGTAAGAACTACTAAGGTGATGTAAATTGTATATTGGGCTCTTCTATTTTTGGGAGATGTCTGTATCATTTTGACCAAACTTCCTAATAGGATAATAATGACTTTAGAACTTAATCAAATATTACTATTAAATGACAATATTTTTACTAGAACTAGTGATATTGAAATTCAAATTTAATAAAGATAAAAGTCATTACATGGGTAAATAAATGAGTAGATAATACTGGATCCCTGTTATGGAGCTTCAGAGTGTGATCAAAGTCTATCCAGGGTTGATTTGTGGATGGAAGATCTGCAAAGTCAGGAAAGGAATCTCTCTCTCACACACACACACAAAGAAAGAGGAAGTTCTTTATACACTCCATCTTAAGAAGTAGCAAGCTGCCTCAGAATCTATGAGGACTGGATTCCTTTAAACATCCCCACATGACTCCTTACTCACTCGTTTTGTTAAAGAATGAATAGCAACAACATGATCTTTAGAAAAATGTTCTTTATATTTCATTGTAACACACTTTGAGATAATACAAGTAGAAAATAATAATATCCTTTGGTCTACATAAATCCCATTGAGTAACTTCCACTGCTAAAAAAAAAAAAAGGGTAAGGGAGATTTCTGCCCTGAAAGAAAGTAGGTCCTTTTAAAGTCACAAGAGCAAATCTGTTTTCCTTTTCCAAAATTCTGGATTAGCAGGGGAGAGATTCTCAATTCTCCCGGTGAAGGCCATGTACGGACATAGGGAAAGGGATCAGTCGTTTTTCTCTCTCTTCTCTCGACGGGCCCTTCTCTTCAGCTGAAGCGTCTTGAGTTCAGTCATGGTGGAAAAGGTCCTGTAAACCCACACCATCTGTCAGCGAGGAAGGAAAAAGAAAAAAAGAAAAGACTTTCACGCGATCTGAGGTTTAATCTTTTAGAGAGCACTTCTAACATATTTGTTTGATGTGACAAGTTGAAGGAGAATACAGTTGAAAACTTACCACAATGATGATTGCATTGAGAAGGAGAGGAATTGAGTAAACCATTGATATGAACATTCCCTTGGAGTCAAAATACTGGAAATCAGAAAAAGATCTAAAAGATATAAAAAAACTTTACATAAACAATTTTTTGTAGACAAAGTTTTTTTTTTCTCCAATCTGTACAAACATTAATAGATACCTAAATGCACAAAAATATTAAGTCTTACCTCCAGTTCATCGCTGCCAGCTCATTTAGATACTCAGCACTATAAACCAGGCCAACTGTGGAGAGATCTTACATTAACTAATTTATTAATACATAAACAAGTGATGGCACACTATGATGTTATCAATACCATAACATCTTCATCTCTACACTTTTCTGTCCTCAAAATTATGTCCTCTAGTTCAAAAGCTAGGTTACTTTATCATTAACTGTCATGATTTAAAGTCAATATACAAGACAGAGATACAAACAAGATATGGTTGAAAGGTTTACGATAAACACAACTGAAGTATTTTACAATGTGTGTAGTTTACTTTTACATTGGCATTAACTAGTCTTCACCATTTTTCACATCAAAACTTTTACAGCTTTTTACTTAATAGTATTTATTAAGTAAATACCCTTAATAAATCTGCACCAATATTAGTTTCCTAATTAATACATAATGTTTTAAACATATACACTGCAATTTTAATTCATCATATATTTTAAAAAATCTGAATTTTAATAGTTTCTGTGCCACAGTTCATAATGAACTTGCCTCTTCTGTTCATCATGGAGCAGAGATGCATGTTTATGTATATTCTTAACATATCAAGAATCAAGTTGGAAGCACGTTGCTGCCATCTGGTGGGCAGTGTCCAAATGGCATCCAGCTTACAAAATCAAGCAGTATCTTAAATACTTTGATGATGATGATCCAGATTCAGCCACATTGTCTGCACCTATTGCTGCCATTAACATTATGCTCACCTTTTCTTTTCTTTTTTTTTTGTCTTTGTAAAATCTACACATGGCTCGATGTTTCAGTGAAGTTGCCACACCTTCCTGCAGGAGGCCTTCAGCTGAGCAGTTGCTGCCAAACCGTTGGCTTTCTAAATGTGATACATTTGGCCCTACTTTCCTGTCTTTAACTCAGTCTCTCGCCTCGACACATGAGCTAACCACATGTTATACGTTACTCATGCCGTAAATTACAATGCTGGCTCACAGGGCATACCAGGAGGATTCAACTCCATTCCTATAAGGCCAGTGCTCTGCACCTTTCAGATAATTTTCTGGACCTGAACCAAATGGCTGGATTAACTCCTGAGTATGCAGTCGGGTTCTCCAGAGTGCTGCTAATGGCAATCTCAGTCTGAAAGGTCTTGATCTCACATCTACTTACTAAGAGCTAAAACACTTTATCTCACCATCCTAACTACTTATATTGACGGGTAACGTTTATGAATAAAATGAACGCATGCTGTGAGTCAGCTTTGGACCTTGACATAATTAAATTTATCTGTCCAGCAACATTTGTAATCATTCATTTCCTATTTTGACACATTCACTGAATAAAATTGAGTTTTATTGAAATCGTGGCATTGTTCAGCTGCTGAAGGATTACTCGTATAGAATCTTGTATAGTCAATGTTTTGACTTCCAATGATCTAATCACAACCTATATTCATATGGTTTTAGGCCAGTAGAAAGGACAGCCAAAACAACAATAACTCTGAAGAATCCAGAATTATTTACAACTCCTTACATAAGGGGGCAAGAATTTAATACTTGCCCCCTTATGTGGAGCAAGTATTAAATACACCGTTGCTTTGGCGCCTCCTGTTTACTTTTCCTGAGTGTTCCTGAAAGCCAATAATTTGCTGATTTCCAGTATTTTGTTACTTTTGTATTAATCTATCAGACGTAGGATCTTTCTGCTTCAGATGACCCAAATGCACAATCGGTAGTTTTCCAGAAACTGATCTAGACGCTGATGGGATGTTGCAGAACACGTACCGATGACCAGGAAGTGGCAGATCTGAGCTCTGTAAAACCTGCAGGTCACTGCAGTCAGGAACAAACACACCACATGAAATACTATGAGCCCGATTAGCCATGGTTCCGACCACTGCACCTGTGAACACACAAGTCGTTCATTGTAATAAATCATTGTTTTGAGTCAGGCAGAGATGGCTAACACCTGGATTAGCTAGTTAGTCAAGCCATTTTGGCAAAGAAAATTAAAACTTACCGACATTAGAAACGTCCATATCGACGTTATTCTTAAATTACTGAATCCGTCGATGGGTATGGAGCTAATATTCTCTGGTTTTTGTTCTGCCATCTTCACAAACAAGACAAAGCTAACCGTATAGCTTAGCTGAAGGTAAAAGAAAACGGAAATGCGAATGAGGCGGATGAGGTCACAGACATCCAGCCAATCAGCTTCCTTCAAAGTGTACACGTGAACGAGTCTTCATAAGGGTCTGTTTTGATTCGTTTTAATAATGTTTTACAAAAGTTCTTTAAACGTTGAAAATATGAAAACACATTTTGTTAGTAATAAATAATAAAAAACGAAAATTAAGCTAAATATTTTAAAATCAGTTTTAATAGACGACGTAGAGTACAAACAATAGAGACAGTTTTGTCTTTTACTACACAAAATCTTAGTCCTAAAATCTATATTAGCAACATATAGAAAAATACATTTAGTTAATATTGCCCTATACAAAAAAATAAAAAAAAATTTTTTTTTCTTCTATCAGTTGATAGTAATGGCTTTGGAGGACTGGAGCTGTCCTCCCTTTCTCTAAAGCAGACCACAGTACACACTACAGAGCAGCAAACCAATTTCTGAGATCATTATTCATAGAACCTCATCCTTCAGTCATGATCTCTGATATAACACCTCTCCGACTTTGCATTTTCAACTCCTACCACATATCTCACCACTGTTTCACTGTCCTTGTGTATGTTAATAAAAGCAGATATGCTTCGACTCACTTTCATGCATGTCCTGCAACTCTTTGCCACAATTGACTTCAGAGCTCCTCCTAAGGTTTCTCCTGATCTATAAAAATACAGAACATCTTCTCTTCTTCTTCAGGGCCTTCTTCATCAACTTTGCTAAACTTCTCATCTTCTATGAGATTTCCCAGCATGTGAACACATTGCACACTCTAGCCTACCCAAAGCAATTGTGTATTAATGCAATTCTAGGGCACAAATTGCAGAGGTAAAATTGCTCAAATGTGCTATTGCTTATTTCAATATATGGTATCTTTGGTCAGCTGCATGAAGTTATATAAAGCTGTTGGAAAGAAAGAAGTGTCTTCTCACTTCCTACTTAATTAGGTAAGTGGTTTAAAGAGTCTATTCCAGTACAACATGCTGTTAATCACTTTTTTGTACAACTTTTTCTGTTCCTAAATATTTATATTCACAAAAATACATAAATTTTTCAAATGCTACTGCTATCCTGCAGCAGGAGACTTGATTAAACATATGAAACAACAAACTTGTGGGAGGAGGTTGGGGGATCCCCTAAGTATTCTATTCTAAAATATTATACTATACAGTACATTGAAATTTAAGCATAACAAGTCTAAATAGGTAGAATTTATAAAAAGAAAATTCAAAAAAGACAAAACTACTGTTATATATATATATTTTCAAATACAAGAACATAAACAAAATACAGAGAGTTTGGTCAAGGTCCCAAGGTTACAACTATTTACAACGAACTCCAAAGGCGGCATCCTTGAAGCGCAGCTCATGTCCTGTTTCTGCTGGGGTGAAAATCCGGAACAAAAGTTGCTGCTGCTGCAATGGGGGTGGAGTAGGCGAGGGCGAAGTTGTACAGACCAAGCATCAGACACTTCCAGGTGGTGCGGAGTGCCTTCCCAACGTTCTGGATACAGAAGAAAATGATCAAAAAGTTGTTTCTCAACACAAGGGTGTCAGCATTCATTTAGCCCTACCAGTCGCTTCAAGACAAGTCGGTTAAAGTAGTAAAACGACTACACTTAGTTTTCAAGGATGTTATATATATATATTCCTTTGTGGCACAATAACAGCAGCAGGAAGAGAAGCTAGTTTTCGTCCTGACTGCAACATCAACACAAAACGTCCTGAGAACTCCATTGTCTCTCGCATCCTGGACAGGAAAGGGCTGACCGGCTGCAGCAGAAACAGGATGAACTGAGTATAACTCTATCTACAAGTGGAGCTCACAATTTAAGCAGACAATCTTCAGTTTGGATATGAAGCCATCAGGTTTATGTTGATTTTATAGCTACATAAATACACTGTAATATCAAATCTTCTTCAGAGGCCTGATCTGGATGAGTTAATTGCTCAGATGATAAACATCTTTCAAAAAATCTTTGTTTCCAAAAATCAGGTTTACTAATGGAACAATTTTGCATGACAAGAACATTATCAGACTTTGTACGTGCACTCAGCACGTAGCCTTAGCTTGTGACATTTAATGGAGGAATTTGTTAAGCCTTAGTGTTTATTCCATCTCACTATAATTACCTAACCTGTTTATTGTTATCTGTTAACAAACACTGGCACCTTATTTTAGTCTCTGACAACCTACCGGAACTTTTCCAAGGAGAGGTCAAAAGGAAACCTATCTAACTGATTCTTCAAAGACTCCTTGACCTGCACGTTTTAACAGACTGAACAATACTAGTGTTAAATAACTAACGAATTAAAATAAAATTCTTTAAAGAAATAATTACACAATTTTTACTTCACAATCTCACAATGAGAAGTATCTTTTTACCAAATATTGTCAGTTTCTTAACTTTAATCTTGTAAAGTCCTATGGAAGTACAGCTACTATATTTCAGAATGAGGTTACTTTGGCAAAAATAACTCATACAAGGTTCTTCAAAAATTTATTGTACCATCTGATTGCTGTGGGTTTTTTTTCATTTCTTTATTTATTTGATTATTTTTATACATTGCTTGTTTTGATTCTGTCCTTTGAGCTTTAAAGATATAATAGGCCTTATAAATAAAATGTATATCTATATTTATATTGTATTTCTTCTTTTACTTATTTGACTTTCTGTTCACAGGTTTGAGGGCAAATTTTGTAAATTAATCTACAGAGGATTTCTGACCATTTTTAATATATCATCTGATGTGAAAGAATCTTAATGAAAATATGATCAGATTATATTTAGTTGTTGTGTATAGAAATATTTAAAACTTAAAAGTCTGCTGCGCTCTCCTCTTTGTTGCTATATGTAAACAGTAATCAGCTTTAGTTTAGTTAAAATATACATTACATACCTTTTTTACTTTCTTATGCTTTTCTTTCTTCCTCTTTTTCTTCTCTGCTTTAGCGTCATCATCTATCAGTGGTTCATACCTCTCTGGCAAAAAAGTAAAATTTAGGTCTTTTTTGGCTTTCTCATTTCGACTGCTGTCATCAGAAGGTGGTTGATCCACAGAGTCAACTTGTCGTTGATATTTTGCTGCACAACTATTCCTCCTTTCACCTGATATGCCTGATGAATTCCTGTCAAACAGTCGGGAGGGAAAAGATTTGGGCTTCATGTTGACTCCTGGTTGCAGATTTGGGAGAGGTAAGGAGAAGCACCAGTTTCCTCTGGGAGGTCAGCTTTGTTGTCAACTAGTGTTATGTGCATCAGGCTGAAATGCATTCCAGTGGTGTTGGGGGGTATTTGGCACACAGCCCTTAAAGGTGCAAATCCCTTCTCCTCACAGAGCTGACCTTGGAAGAGCGTCAAGTGCCACGTTTTAATCAAAGTGACCATTATTCTGAAGCATACAGACTTGAGGCTATGTGCAGTTAATACTGATGTATGCAAGTAGGCTAATGCATTTTTCCTAAACCTGCCTAAATTCAAATCCAGTAAATTATTTTTTTACAGCTTTTAATAAAACCATTAGCAGCAGAAGAAAAACAAACATTTGCAGCATATCCTTTAAGTAAACTAATAAATGTTTCTATATTTGTAATCCAAAAACAATATACTGGTTTGCCTCCAATGACATCTCTGGTCTCCTACCAGAACTCTGTGCCAGTTTCTTAGGGTTCTCAGCAACCCCATTTCTTAGGGTTGCCAACTTAAAATGGGTGATGTTCCTTTCAACAGAGCATTTCTCAACATAAATTTTGCTTTTATACCAACTTTCACTCAAAATTCAAATTGGGGATTTTGTGTAAAACTAAGAAATAGAAAACAATTGACATTAAGCTATTCCATTATGGCTCTACCTGTAATATTGTCTTTCTTTAAGGAGAACCTCCTCAAGTCTAAATTATTTTAAAATCTGTTTTTCTTCCATTGTCATTTAGCTCTCTTCATTTTCCCACCAATGCTGACCAGTTTCCCCTTCATTCTAACGAAACGAGTGTGTACAGACCAATGTGTCGTTTGTTTTTAAACACAACATGTTTTGCTTAGGGCCAAATAGTTAAATTTTGGTTTCTGACTTTCGGCAAACAGAACAACAAACAGTTATGTCAAGAAACAGTTATGTCAAGAAAATTTTCCACCTCAGTTTTGCATCTCTGTATCTCTTCCAGTCAGAATTATTCAAAAACACCAATACACATTTGCAGAACAATTTATAAACTTTATTGTTGTGAAGCTGCAAAAATATTTAACCTGAGATAAATAACACATCCACTGAAAAGAAATGAGATCCTGAAGAAAATGCTACAAATACGAGAGACTGTTTCAGAATCTGAAATGTGACCAACCTTTTTAACTGATGGCAAAACGATACAAAAGTAGCAGCAATTTTTATTTTATGCCTTAACGTAAAAGTTCATCATTCACTTTTAAGAGCAGCTGTAAGAGAAGTACAATGACCTGCTGAAAGTCACGTTGAAAAGCCTAAAAACTACAAAACTTCTCTCTCCTGCACAATCTGTACAATTGTTAACGTGAAAAGGTCAAAAACTCAATTTTGACATGTAGGAATTTGCCTTATTGCCATGTTCGAAATCCCACCAAAATTGTCTTTAAATAATTGGAAGTAAAATACAAATGAGTAATTAACATTAACATCTTCAAAGTCAACTTTTCAGACAGTTTGCATTTCAGATGTCTTTCTTATATAACCAACATTAGAAACGTGCAATATTGTATACATCTTAAATCAATTTTGCCACTTTTTTAATCAAACAAACCTTTATACAATTTTACATGAAACAAATTAAGTCTTCATGGGTAAAACTGAAAAAATATATACATACTTTTACTAAAAAAAAACCTTTACTTTAGAAATATAAACAATTTATATTTTGTTTTGTTGAGGTTGTTTAGTGGTATTCAGTATTTCACCACTAGATGCCACTGTGTTCCAGTAACTGAAGCTGTAACTTGCTCTGGTTCTAGCAGTTGCATTGATCATAACCTTGACTTTAAAGCTGCAAGCAGCTTTGTGTGGCCATATTTATGAGAATAGACTCTTTAGTGGCTACACTTTATTTATTATTAATGCAGCTGGTTTTAATACTCTTCACTCAGATGAAGAGTATTACTGGTCTTCACTGCGAAAGTTGTTCTGTCCTCGGTCAGGGTCCTTTAGGCGGAGGATACGGATGGTTTTGCTCACTGGAAGAGAACTGAGCAGGAAAGAAAGCAACAAAAATATTGACAAGATTTGAAGTTGCTTTGTGCCTTAAAAGAATGAAACAAAGTTCTTAAAAGTAGTGTCATTTCAGTTAAGCAGTTCTGCCAAACATAATTTAAAACACAAGTAAGACAGTCAAAAGGTGTGGGTGGAATTGATTTGCACTGCAGACAAAGAAATGGTTCTGATGGTTACCTCATGTTCTGGGGTGTGAGGAAAATGAACTGTCTGTAGCGCTGACTGGCAGCTACTTTCAACATCATGTCCATCGATATCCTCCTGTTCACCATGTCCTCAAAGAGCAAAACAGGAACAAAGTCCAGTTTATTTTTTTCCATCTTAGAACAAGTTATGCTGCAAATTCTGGTAAGTTAGGCTAAGAATTTATTTTAATAAACGTAATAATCATTATAATAAAAATTATTATTTTTTTATTATATTAAAATAAATATTTGCATTTAGCTGGAGAAACAAGCAGCCCATCCACTCGTTAAGACAGCAAGCACATGACCCATGTCCGACCTTTTGATGGGAGTCTACACAGCCAATCATATCATAATTGGCAGACAAAAACACAACAAATGTCAATAGAACTGTATGACATTACCATGTAAACATCAAACTCATCAAGGCAGCGAAAAGGCGACTCTGTGATTGCCCAGAGAGAGAGGACAAAACAAACAGTGGAGAAGGAGCGCTCGCCTCCAGACAGAGAACGCATGTCACTCAAATCCGCTTTGTTTCCTTGGCCTGGCTGGACCTAAATAGGAGTGGGAAAAAAAAATAAAATAAAAATAAAGAAAATTCCTTCTCTGAGGTAATTTTATTTATTGAATTTCCCTTTGGGATCAAGAAAGTGTTTTTGAATTAATGACTTAATTTGTAAAAACCAGTGGAACCAAACTATAAGAAACAAAATGGCCAAATACTTCTTCTGTTAACTGTAGTTAGACTTCACAACTGAACTAAACAAAAGTAAGTGCTAACATTTCTTTTTTTAATTTTTATTTTTACTTTTTATAGTTGAATCTAGGTATATCAACCAGGATTAGTGCTGAGTCAAATCCACAGATGTCATGGGAAGGATAAGGGAGTGGGACCAGAGCAACTTGTTCACATAACATCCAGGAGAATTTGAGATAGCCAGGGATTTAGCGGCAGTAAAGGAGGAACCAGTTCAGATAATAACTGTTTTAGGTCAGGCCAACTCCGTTAATTTTCCATCTGCCTTAGAGTCTCGCTGGCACTCCCAAATAGTCAAATCTGTGGTCGTTCCTGCCAAACTGAGCTTATATCTGAATCAGAATCTGAAACACATCACTTCAATGAACACAGAGTGACATACATCAGGGCTTTATTTGTTTATTATGCTAATGATCAGATAATAAAAACCATCACTAACTTTCACTCGTCAGCAGTACCACAGGTTAATCACCTCAATGGAACATCAATGTAGTAAATCATACTTTCAGTAAGACTATGGCTTCTGATTTACAAGAAGTAAAGACTTGAAATATTTCAACCTGTAATAAATCTATGCAACATATCAGTTTCATTCTGATATAGGTGACAAAAAATACTGAGTATTTTTAGATATTCTCATGTTTTGAGCTGTACTTATAAAGATCAGAGGCAACCTCATTCTACATTTGTGTGAGGAAAGTTTCTGGAAAAAAAAGGGGTTTTAAAAATGTTTTAAGACAAAAGCAAAGTAAGACATAGTTGTCACTTGTGACACCAGTGGTTCCCTTACATCTCTGATGCCTAAGTGATTCATGAGCCTAACAAGCAATGCCAATCTCTTGGTGCATCTTTTTCTGAATACAAACTTGAGGCTGCATCAAACAAACAAAAGTTGCTTACCGAGATGGTCAAGGTCTCATTCTTGTGGTCAAACGTCATGCTTCCACTATAGCCTCTCTGAGCCAGCATACTATTAAAGTAGTATTTACAACGGGCTGAGAGGAACCTAATGTGGAAAAATTAACAACTATAAATAAAAAAATGTCCAGAAGAAAAATAACAGTATCTAAACCAAGAGTTAATTAATATTTTTCTTTTGGAAGTACAAAGAAATGCTCTGTCAAACATTAAAATATTTCCATGTAAATGTTGTGCTTCACCGCTTAATGAACAAAGGCGTCGTCATGACTTACTTTCTGAGATCAGCGTAAACCTGGAGTCTGTAGTTCATGACGTTATCCAGACTTCTGATGAAGCTGTTCAGGCTCCTCATTTGCTGAGACATATTTTTGTAGCTCTCTAAAGCCTCATGGTATTGCCTAGACAAGAGTGTAAAGACAAAATTAGGGGTACTAGTATTTTGGTGTGTTGTCAGAACTGCATTCGGTTAAGTAAAAGTGGAAATTGTACATGGCAGTGGTTCCCAAATACAAAGCTATTGTAAAACATGAAGCTATTACCTCACAATCTCCTCACGGTCCCCTTGTTGTTCCTGCTGAGTTGTGATCTTGACTTTGAGACGATTAATCTCACTGTCAATACTTTTGGCAGTTCGACGAACTTCAAGGCGTTCTGGACAAATCTCAGAGGCCTTGGCAACAGAGGCCTGGGTTGAAAAAAAGGCAGCCGTGAAAAAGGAAGAAAAAAAAAAAAGCTGAGGCATGTTGCTTAGACAACCAGTTTGCATACATAAAAACAGAAACGAGAAACAGAAACAAGAAGTTAATATGTGCAACAGGAAAAGCTCAGTTGAGGAAAAACATGCAAGCTATAGTTAAGTGGTCAAGTCAACAGACTAATCCTGCGTTTAATGTGTCTTGGAAATCTGGGAATTATACCACATGTAAATAGAGCATGTTGTAGTTGCGCTTGAAGAAACAAATCAGTGCTGACAATATATAGCATATATTGTCTTTATATGCTATATATGTGTGCCACCGGTTTACAATGATAGTAACAGTCAGAATGTTTCATACGTGCAGCAGCGTTATTGGATATTGGGCTTGGAGTAGGTCAGTTACGTTTGTGTTGATGTAGAAACTC